GAATCCATCTCCCAGGCTTAAGGACTTAAAAGGATCACCTTTACTTGTTTGGGTCCAGCTGGGGACTTGTCCCTCAGTTGAGCCTACTGTCCACGGGTCAGGCCAACCACAAACCCAGGCACTGCACTTGGTGAAACCACCTCTGTGGGCACGGGGGGGAGGAAAGGATGCTAACTCGATTAGTGACCAACCCAAGAAACCTTCTCTGGGGCACAATAACCACCGACCCCACCCTGTGGTCACCATGACATGTGATGTGCCGGGGGGCCTGGGTGACTCAGTTGGTTAAGCGTCTGCCTTTGGCTCAGGTCATGATCCCAGCGTCCTGGGATCGAGTCCCACATCGAGCTCCCTGCTCAGGGAAGCCTGCTTCTTCCTCTCCCTCTGCCTGTCACTCCCCCTGCTTGCTCTCTCTCTCTCTCTCTCTGTCAAATAAATAAAAATCTTAAAAAAAAAAAAACCAAAACACGTGTGATGTGCCAAGGCTGGATGCCTGGCTTGGAACAGCAAACCCTCCCATGGATCCTCTCTGCCCGGCAGAATGGGAAGTCTGCGCTGAGCAACCTCACTTGCCCAGGGCAAGTCAAGGGTTGTCCCCACTGGGTGATGTTTCTTTGAGCATTAGTGGGATGGCCACATGCCCACATCAGTTCTCAGTAGTAGGAAATGAGCTGACATAACCCGGAGGCCAGAGACTGAGTCACCTCCTTTTTCCAACTTTTTTTTTTTTTTTTTTAAGTAGGCTCCACGCCTCATGTGGGGCTCGAACTCACTACTCTGAGATCAAGAGTCACATGCCCTACCGACTAGGCCAGCCAGGTGCCCTGTGAGTCACCTTCTTGTCCTCACCTTTGCTCCTCATATCCTCTGGGTCCTCACCTATCTCCCCTCTCATCTGGGGAAAAAAAATCTAAACTAAGAAAACTGCCACCATAGGGACACCTGGGTGGCTCAGTGAGTTAAGCGTCTGCCTTTGGCTCAGGTCATGATCCCAGTGTCCTGGGATCGAGCCCTGCGTCAGGCTCCAAGCTCAGCGGGGGGCCTGTTTCTCCCTCTCCTACCCACTCGTACTCTCTCTATCTCTCTTTCTCTCTCAAATAAAATTTTTAAAATTAAAAAAAAAAAAAGGGTGCTTAGGTGGCTCAGTTGGTTAAGCGACTGCCTTCGGCTCAGGTCATGATCCTGGGGTCCTGGGATCAAGTCCCGGGATCGAGTCCCGCGTCGGGCTCCCTGCTCGGCAGGGAGTCTGCTTCTCCCTCTGGCCCTCCCCCCTCTCATGCTCTATCTCATTCTCTCTCTCAAATAAATAAATAAAATCTTTAAAAAAAAAAAAACTGCAACCAAAAATATACCACCACCACCCACCCTGCTCCAACCCTGGCCCACAGCATTCCCACAGTCAGGCATCCACCTGTTCACCAAAGACCCTGAAAGGAGTGTCCCTCTTGGTTCACTATTGAAGCCCCCCAATGCCAATGTTGAGTGGGAGGAGGGGGTAAGTAGGGAAAAGAGCCAGCTGCCCTTCCCACCACCAATTCAGGCTAGGCGAGAGCTGCCAGCACATGGGGGACACAGAGGCTGTGCCATTCTGTTCATTTGCAGCTTGAGACCAGTCAAAACTCATCTAAGCTGACTGAGGTCAGGACAGCAGCTGCCTCCGGGGCAGGGTGGGGGACGCTGGGGAAGAGATGGGGGGCAAGAGGGAACATAAGAGGTTGGTGGAAATGTTCACCATCTTAACTGAAGCAGCAGTGACATGTGTATAAATACTCTTCACTGGGCGCCTGGGTGGCTCAGTTGGTTAAGCGACTGCCTTCGGCTCAGGTCATGATCCTGGAGTCCCGGGATCGAGTCCCGCATCAGGCTCCCTGCTCAGCGGGGAGTCTGCTTCTCCCTCTGACCCTCCTCCCTCTCATGTGCTTTCTCTCTCTCATTCTCTCTCTCTCAAAATAAATAAATAAAATCTTTAAAAAAAAATACTCTTCACTGCAGTGACAGGGGGACTGAAGATCTGTATGTGTCACTTTATGCAAATTACAAGGCAATGGAGGGGAAGGAGCAAGCTATAAAGTTCAGCCGGAGTTATCAGAAGTGGGTGGCCTGTGATCTAGCTAAACTCTTGCCTCTGGGCACTTTCTGTTCCAACAGAGCTGGGCAGTTCTCCTGGGGGAGGAGGGGAGTGGCAGCATCCCCCAAGTCCCACGACGCTGCAGCGAGCGCAGCCACCAAGCACACACCGTGAAAGGAACAGGGCTCATGCGCCCCAGACGGCGCATTGTCTACACCCCAGTCTACCTGACAAGACCCCGCCGCGAGGCCGCATCTGACCGATTCCCTTGACCCCGCAACAAAGACCCCCTTTGTTCCCTGGTTAATATCCTTAGCAGGTCTGTCTAGACTCACTGTGGCAGTAATTGTCCCGTGATGTCACCAGGACCTGTGACCCAGCTCCTCCTCGCTGCGCTTGGGCAGGGAACACTCCAGACGGCCCCAAGCCAAGGGGGTCCCGGCCCTTGACACCCACCTGAGCCTCCTAGGAAGAGAGAGACCTGCAACCAGTGTCCACATCCACCACCCTAGACCTGGGGGAGACAAGACGCTCCAAAAATGCAGTCAGTCCTGTGGGAGGTACTTAGGGGCAGTGCCATGCTAGGGAATGATGAAAAGGGGTGCCCTCTGTCCCCCACACTCCCACCTCTCCAGTGTGGCTGGTGGAAAATAGTTCATTCTCCATTAGAGCACAAGTTCACCCAAGGCATGAAGAAAGAAGGTCAGATGAGAGAAAGGGACAGAGGAGGTGGTGGGGACAGGAGAGAGAAGAGAGAGGGAAAGACAGAGACACAGAGAGATGGACAGAGAGAGAGATGGAGACATAAGGGAGAGAGACAGAGAGAGACCCACAGAAAGGCCAAATAAAACTGAGAGAGAGAGACACAAGGGGAGAAAGACAGAGAGGTGGAGAGAGATATGGAGACACAAGGGGAGAGAGGGAGAGACCAGAGGGAGGCTGACAGAGACAGAGAGACAGAGAAGGGGAGAGACAAGAGAAGTTAGCTGGTCCCTGAGAGAGGAGGGGTTCCTTCTACAGGTGACAGCTTGGGCTTCTGAAAAATCTATGGGGACAGGAAGTTAACTGCTGCTCACTCTGGGTAACAAAACTCCCATCTTCAGCTTGAGGTGATCAACATGAACTGCCACATGCAACTCATGTCTGGATCACACCAAGAACACTCGAAGCCATATTTTCGTGAGGGATAGACTGGACCCATCCAATGGGACACCTTTTCATGTGCAAGTCTGTTTTATCCAGGTCAACTAAAACACACCAAGGGCAGCTCGCAGCAACCCCACAGACAGATCCTGCAGACACCGTGCTGCGCAGAAGGCACCAGAGCCAAGCGCAACTCCATTGACGCCAAGTTCTAGAACAGGCGACACCCACAGCAGCAGAAAAAAAAGAAAAAGTCAGCAGAGATGTTTACACCTGGGGGGAAATAGCTATGAAGGGCCACAAGGAGCTTCTGTGATGAGAAAGGGGCCGGGAATGTTCTAGATCTTGATCCAGAGCCGGGTGGCACAGAGGTGAACATTCGTAAAATTTCGTGGAGCTACACTGACGCGCTCACTCAGAGTATGTTTGTGCAACTCCAGCTTTTTGTTTTGCTTTGGTTTTAAAGAGGAACAATCACATCTGGGAAGGTTGGTGTCTTCTTTTTATCCATGGAATGGTAGAGAATCCTCTCTTCTTGTTTCACAAGCTTGAGGAAGAAAATGGAAAGTCTTCCAGAGGCGAGGTCTGGCAAGATGGGTGACCAAAATATAAGGGGTATTTCCCTTCCTGCAGCAGGATGAAAAAGCTGCCATCCTCCACCATCCGCATCCCAAAGCTCAGAGGGATTTCCAAAGATTGTTTAATTGATTTTTCTCCTATTTAGATGCAGATCATAGTGTCTGGGGCCCAGGAATTCAGACACACGGCTTTGTGTCCACTCAGCCCCGTGAAGGCTCCTGTCTGAAACTCGCACAAAGCCAGACACACAACGTCTTCAGAAACACGCTGTTTCCTTTTTGTCTGGGGCTCCAGGGAGCGGGTGCAAGGAGCAGAGCATCCGACACGCTCCCATCTGCAGGGTCCTGGGGACCCCGTCCCTCTGTCCTGCTCACAAAGTGGGGTGAATTTTTTTTTTTAAAAGAAAAGTAGCCAAGATTTTGAGGTCTCTACTAGGGCTGATATAAAAGGTGGGGGGATCCCCAAAACTAGGGCTTGACACATTGAGGTTTCAACTTGGATTTTTTTCCAAATTCAGGGCTCTGGAATGAAAAGCAGGGGATGCTTTAAATCAAGCAGCTAATGGGCTTGGATTAACATGAGTTTGGCTCCGGTCTCTGCAGATCTGATTTATATAAGGAGAAAACGTTTCTCTCTTTCTCTCTCCCCATTGTTCCCGTCTGTCTCTCCAAATGCCCCATCTGACAAAGAAAGTGGAAGGCTTGCAGGCTGACAACCTGCTCAGGACAGTGGGAAAGACACCCTCCCCCCCAATTTGCAGTCTTCTCTGCCCCCGGCTGCTGGGAAGCAACAGTGAGGATCACTATACCCTCTCTACAAGGTTAATACATCCGCCAACATCCCTGCCTGGTCCCCCTAAACCTGGGGGCACTTTTGAGTCACTGCCGCTCCAGTTTCCTGGCTGTGTGAACTCAGATAACTCTCTGGGGGCCTCAGTGGCCTAATCAGGAACGTGGGCACAAGAATGAGTACACCCAACCATGCAAAGTTTGTGAGGCAAATTCAGAGTGCTCGGTGCACAGCAAGCCAACAAGTGGAAGTTATACGGGTCACCATTTGGAAAGATGTGGATACCAGACTTATATATTTTGCAGGAAGCTTCAAGGGAGCCGTTCTCTTCGTAGATTCCTTCCTCTCTTTGGTGCCATATATTTCCAGGGCGGGGGAGCCCAGCCCTGAGTCTGATTCCTACCCTCCAGATCTGAGTTACCTGGACTGCAATCCAGCTGGCGTTCACGGTGTGTTCTCCAAAAGGGCCAAATCCTGAAAGAGCAAACAGTAAAAGCAGCATGTTAACACCCAGTGACCTTTTTTAGCCTGCCCAGGGTTGGTTTGCTGCCTCCACCTGGCAGGACGGAACAGGGAATTTTGGCAGCTGCCTGCCACCAGGGCCAATGTCAGGGGCCTGGTCCCGCGATCTGGGGTACACCCAGGGCCCTTCAGAGCCCCTCCCCCCCACTGCTCTTAACTGCTTTTAACTGTCCTTTCTTGTCTTCACCTTCACCCGACCCTCGTGCCTGGCAAGAGGCCAGTGGCCTCCTTTTGCCCCAGAAAGGGCTGGCCTTTTCCCTTCTCGATTTTTCCACTATCCCTGACCCCATCTATAATTATCTTATTACTGTCTTTGTGCAGGGCCTCTGTGCTCCGTGAATCACCATGAAGTGAGGAATGGCCCTTAAGGGAAAGGTGTGGGTGTCTCCCAGGCCAGACTGTCCAGACACCATCCTGCCAGGCTCCTCCCCGCTTCTTGAACTCCAGGCCCCACTTACAAACTGAGGGAGTGGTCTGAGGATGCACTAAGTGTCCTGCATGCACTGTGGCCTTCAGCCTCACTGAATCCTCTTTCAGGCAAGGCTGTTTCATGGACCCCTTTTACAGGAGCCGGACTAAGGCAAAGACAGGGTGGAAACCGCTGCCTAGGGTCACACAGCGAGAAGGCAGAAGAGCTGGGATTCAAAACCAGACCCATGAGAGTACACAGCTCTTCTATTCTAATCACCCTGTCACCCTGCCTAGAAATGAACATCTCCAAGAGAGCCTGCCCTGGAAGTGTGGGTCACTCCAGCTGGACTGAGGGTCCCAGGTGGTGTCATGGCCCTGGGAGAGATGCTGTGCCTTGGAGGCAGGACCTCTCCACTCCTTCTCTTCTCCTGCATAGACTAAGTAGGAGTCCCAGCTCAGCCACCTAGAAACAGGGTGACCTCTGTAAGCCTCAGTTTCCCCTGTGCAAAACGGAGATGGTACAGATGTAATGAATTCATGCAAGGAAAATGCCCAGTCCGGTGGCTGCCTGCAGAATCCAGCACTGGAGGAGCAAATAACCAGATACAGAAGGGCTGGGGGGGGGGGAGTGGCGGCAGCAACTCTCCCCGCAATTACACACACCTGTTAAGTGAGTGCCTTCTTCTACCTTCCTGGGAATTCCAGGATCAGCCTCACCCTCCCGAGGCCAGAAAACACTTGTGTGAACCTTAGCTGGATCTCGCACTCTGACCCCTCCAGACAGCGGGTCAAAATGACCCCCCAACCAGAGGCCCGGCGGAAGTTGATGCCCACGTGGCCCCGAGGCGGAGTCTTCTCGAGGAGGAACAGTTTCAGGGAGTTGGTGACAGCAGGGACGGGCTCACCCATAAACAGCCGGAGGCGGGGGGTGGGGTGGAGATTTTGACCCACACGGTCCTGGTGACAACAGGGAGAGCGGCCGGCCCCCCGAGGTCCCCTGACCTCCACCTGTTCTTGCCTCGGGAGAACAGCCCCCCATTAGCACAGGGCTGGGGGGGCAGTGGCTGGCAGGAGGTTCATTGTCACTGGGGCACTTCCTGCCCGCAAATCGGCCTTTGTCCCCTGGGGCCGTGGGTGGGGACAGGCCCGACCTCGGGAGGGGCAGGGAGAAGTCAAGTCCTGCCCACCGGCCGGTCAGACGGAACAGACAGGTACCCAGAGGACCACTGTCCTCACCCGGGGAAGGAAGGACGCCCGAGGGGCCTGTTCTACGCGGGGCACTTGACCGGACCCCCACACCCCTGCTTGCCCCGACCCCTGACAGTGCGACCATAAGGGCGCCCCTTCTCCACCTTCTACGTGTTGCGCCGACTGAGCTGGGCGATGACATCTTCCAAACCTGGGAGGACTTCTAGCACCTTCCCCTCCCGGGCCACCGCGCCTCTGCCAACCCTGCCGGCTCTGGAGCCGCCCAACCCGCCCCTGCCCGCGGTCGCTGTCGCCACGGCCGCCATCAGCGTACCCGTCACCACCACCGCCTTCCTGGGTTGCTCCATGGCGGGCTCGGGCTGCGCCTCGGACCCGCTCCTGTCGGGACTGGCGAGTCGGCCGCCGCC